CTGTTCATAGTTATAAGGTTCTGATGTTTACCTGTTAATATCTCAGCTGCTCAAAGTGACTGACAAACCTTTTTTTATAAATTACTACAAGTGTTGGAGCCGTTTTACCTTGCACTCGTTCGCCTCTAGTATCTCACCTGCTTAAAGTGACTAACTCTCTTCAATCAAAGTTCAGGTGTTGGATGATGTTTTACCTGTTTGCACTTGTCCTCGGCCCCCTTTTTGTCTCCCTCGGCCTGCTCGGCTCGGTCTATGGCGTTCTCCTTGTCCAGCTTTAACATCTGCATCTTCTTCTTGATGGCCTCCATGGTGGCGCGGCTTTGGGATACTCACAGCGGGAGAAAGAGGCTGCTGGTCCGGACTGAGAGTGGAGCACCGCTCGGTGTCTGTGTGTGTGTGAAGGGTCGAAGGATGGAGCAGCAGCTGCACGAGCTCACACTTTTTTTCACAGTGAATCTGCGCGAGGACGTTCCCATATTTAGGCAGCACGAGGGGCCAGAGCGCGCGTGACGTGCGGGAATAAATCAGGTCTGTTTACATAACGTCATGTTATCCACCTGCAGGATACTACAAAGGTAGAAGAATTCAAATATATTGATATATTTTAATTAAATATAAATATACACTGATAACAAATGTATGTGCTTGTATTGATGTAAACATGAAACTTGTATTCATACTCAGGGCCCTCTCCAGGATTTACCTGGTCCCCATGACAAATCTCACATTAGGCTCCTCCCCCACAGTCCGAGATAGGACTATAACCACGCCTCCATAACACTAACGAGTCATTAACAGATTTACATTCAAGTCCACAAAATGTGACTCCTTCAACACTTTTAGATAGCACACATTTTAAAATGAAACAATCTCTTATTATAATGATACGCACGATCTAAGAGTCATGAAGACTTAAAGACTCAACATTTATTTATCAGACAGGAGAGGAAAAGGAGCGAAAGAAACATTTATTTATCAGACAGGTGAGGAAGAGGAGATAAAGAAACATTTATTTATCAGACAGGAGAGGAAAAGGAGAAAGAAACATTTATTTATCAGACAGGTGAGGAAGAGGAGGTAAAGAAACATTTATTTATCAGACAGGTGAGGAAGAAAAGAACATTTTTATGAGCAGTCCTGATAACTGAAGGTTCTACCTCCCATAGTACATTTAGAGACTGTAGGTACCACGAGCAGGATAACTGAAGGCTCTACCTCCCATAGTACATTTAGAGATCGTAGGTACCACAAGCAGGCCTGAAAACTGAAGGCTCGACCTCCCATAGTACATTTATAGACTGTACCACGAGCAGGCCTGATAACTGAAGGCTCTACCTCCCATACTATATTTAGAAATTGTAGGTACCACGAGCAGGATAACTGAAGGCTCTACCTCCCATAGTACATTTAGAGACCGTAGGTACGACGAGCAGTCCTGATAACTGAAGGCTCTACCTCCCATAGTACATTTAGAGACCATAGGCATTTAGAGATCGTAGGTACCACGAGAAGACCTGATAACTGAAGGCTCTACCTCCCATAGTACATTCAGAGACTGTACCACGAGCAGGCCTGATAACTGAAGGCTTTACCTCCTATAATACATTTAGAGACCGTAGGTACCACAAGCAGGTCTGCTAACTGAAGGCTCTACCTCCCATAGTACATTTAGAGACTGTACCACAAGCAGGTCTGATAACTGAAGGCTCTACCTCTCATAGTACATTTAGAGACCGTACCATGAGCAAGCCTGATAACTGAAGGCTCTATCTCCCATAGTACATTTAGAGACTGTACCACGAGCAGACCTGATAACTGAAGGGTCTACCTCCCAAAGTACATTTAGAGACTGTACCACGAGCAGGCCTGATGACTGAAAGCTCTAACTCCTATAGTACATTTAGATACTGTACCACGAGCAGGCCTGATAACTGAAGGCTCTACCTCCCAAAGTACATTTAGAGACTGTACCACGAGCAGGCCTGATGACTGAAAGCTCTACCTCCCATAGCACATTTAGAGACTGTTGGTACCACGAGCAGGCTTGATAAGTGAAGGCTCTACCTGCCATAGTACATTTAGAGACTGTAGGTACCATGAGCAGGCCTGATAACTGAAGGCTCTACCTCCAATAGTACATTTAGAGACTGTACCACGAGCAGGCCTGATAACTGAAGGCTCTACCTCCCATAGTACATTTAGAGACTGTACGTACCACGAGCAGGTCTGCTAACTGAAGGCTCTACCTCCCAAAGTACATTTAGAGACTGTAGGCATTTAGAGATCGTAGGTACCACGAGCAGACCTGATAACTGAAGGATTTACCTCCCATAGTATATTTAGAAAATGTAGGTACCACGAGCAGGCTTGAAAACTGAAGGCTCTACCTCCAATAGTACATTTAGAGACTGTACCACGAGCAGGCCTGCTAACTGAAGGCTCTACCTCCCAAAGTACATTTAGAGACTGTACCACGAGCAGGCCTGATAACTGAAGGCTCTACCTCCAATAGTACATTTAGAGACTGTACCACGAGCAGGCCTGATAACTGAAGGCTCTACCTCCCATAGTACATTTAGAGACTGTACGTACCACGAGCAGTCTGCTAACTGAAGGCTCTACCTCCCAAAGTACATTTAGAGACTGTAGGCATTTAGAGATCGTAGGTACCACGAGCAGACCTGATAACTGAAGGATTTACCTCCCATAGTATATTTAGAAAATGTAGGTACCACGAGCAGGCTTGAAAACTGAAGGCTCTACCTCCAATAGTACATTTAGAGACTGTACCACGAGCAGGCCTGCTAACTGAAGGCTCTACCTCCCAAAGTACATTTAGAGACTGTACCACGAGCAGGCCTGATAACTGAAGGCTCTACCTCCAATAGTACATTTAGAGACTGTACCACGAGCAGGCCTGATAACTGAAGGCTCTACCTCCAATAGTACATTTAGAGACTGTACCACGAGCAGGCCTGATAACTGAAGGCTCTACCTCCAATAGTACATTTAGAGACTGTACCACGAGCAGGCCTGATAACTGAAGGCTCTACCTCCCATAGTACATTTAGAGACTGTACGTACCACGAGCAGGTCTGCTAACTGAAGGCTCTACCTCCCAAAGTACATTTAGAGACTGTAGGCATTTAGAGATCGTAGGTACCACGAGCAGACCTGATAACTGAAGGATTTACCTCCCATAGTATATTTAGAAAATGTAGGTACCACGAGCAGGCTTGAAAACTGAAGGCTCTACCTCCAATAGTACATTTAGAGACTGTACCACGAGCAGGCCTGCTAACTGAAGGCTCTACCTCCCATAGTACATTTAGAAACTGTAGGTACCAGGAGCAGGCCTGATAACTGAAGGCTCTATCTCCCATAGTACATTTAGAGACTGTAGGCATTTAGAGACCGTACGTACCACGAGCAGGTCTGCTAACTGAAGGCTCTACCTCCCAAAGTACATTTAGAGACTGTACCACAAGCAGGCCTGATAACTGAAGGATCTACCTCCCATAGTATATTTAGAAAATGTAGGTACCACGAGCAGGCTTGAAAACTGAAGGCTCTACTTCCCATAGTACATTTAGAGACCGTACCACGAGCAGGCCTGATGACTGAAAGCTCTACCTCCCATAGCACATTTAGAGACTGTTGGTACCACGAGCAGGCTTGATAAGTGAAGGCTCTACCTCCCATAGTACATTTAGAGACTGTAGGTACCACGGGCAGTCCTGATAACTGAAGGCTCTACCTCCCATAGTAAATTTAGATACTGTACCACAAGCAGGCCTGATAACTGAAAGCTCTACCTCCCATAGCACATTTAGAGACTGTAGGTACCACGAGCAGGCTTGAAAACTGAAGGCTCTACCTCCCATAGTACATTTAGAGACCGTACCACAAGCAGGCCTGATAACTGAAGGCTCTACCGCCAATAGTACATTTAGAGACTGTAGGTACCACGAGCAGTCCTGATGACTGAAGGCTCTACCTCCCATAGTACATTTAGAGACTGTACCACGAGCAGGCCTGATGACTGAAAGCTCTACCTCCCATAGTACATTTAGAGACTGTACCACGAGCAGGCCTGATGACTGAAAGCTCTACCTCCCATAGCACATTTAGAGACTGTTGGTACCACGAGCAGGCTTGATAAGTGAAGGCTCTACCTCCCATAGTACATTTAGAGACTGTTGGTACCACGAGCAGGCTTGATAAGTGAAGGCTATACCTCCCATAGTACATTTAGAAACTGTAGGTACCAGGACAGGCCTGATAACTGAAGGCTCTATCTCCCATAGTACATTTAGAGACTGTAGGCATTTAGAGATCGTAGGTACCACGAGCAGACCTGATAACTGAAGGCTCTACCTCCCATAGTATATTTAGAAAATGTAGGTACCACGAGCAGGCTTGAAAACTGAAGGCTCTACTTCCCATAGTACATTTAGAGACCGTACCACGAGCAGGCCTGATGACTGAAAGCTCTACCTCCCATAGCACATTTAGAGACTGTTGGTACCACGAGCAGGCTTGATAAGTGAAGGCTCTACCTCCCATAGTAATTTAGAGACTGTAGGTACCACGAGCAGTCCTGATAACTGAAGGCTCTACCTCCCATAGTAAATTTAGAGACTGTAGGTACCACGAGCAGTCCTGATAACTGAAAGCTCTACCTCCCATAGCACATTTAGAGACTGTAGGTACCATGAGCAGTCCTGATAACTGAAAGCTCTACCTCCCATAGCACATTTAGAGACTGTAGGTACCACGAGCAGTCCTGATAACTGAAAGCTCTACCTCCCATAGCACATTTAGAGACTGTAGGTACCATGAGCAGAACTGATACATCACTACGGCCCTAGTAGCTCTTTAAGATAAGTCGTTGACTGACCATTTAGAGCTTTGTAAGTGAGAAGAAGGATTTTAAATTCTCATCCAGATTTTATAGGGAGCCAGTGCAGATATGCAAATACAGGAGTCATGACATGATGAACAGAAAAGTTTGACTGAAAACTTTATTGATATAAATCTCTGATACAGTGACGATGTACAGCTGATCAGCAGCGTTAGAAACAGAGTGAGCGTGTGTGTGTGTGAGATTACAGGCACTTTATAAACGTTAAAGTGTGAAAAAACAGAGTTTCTTTGGGTCCATTGAATCTGCTGAACACAAACTAACCTGGAACAGAAACATCTTGCACTCAGCAGACAGAGAATGAAGGGTTAGCCGCTAACATTTGCACACGCAGAGCACCAAATAAACAGATGTTAAATATATGGCTTCATCATATTCAACAAACAGCTGTAAAAATCTCATCTGCTGCTGACTCCAACAAACATTTAAAAACAGCTCGTCTTTATAAAAATAAGGAATTTAATATGATTTGTTCTGACGCAGAGTTCCAAATCTAAACTTTACACATTATTTTGTCCTTTTTTCAGATTTAAACTGAACATCATGACTTTAACAGGAACACAGAGTCTCTCTCAACATATTCAGACACTGAAACATGGCATTCAGACACTGAAACATGGTTATCAGACACTAAAACATGGTGATCAGACAGTGAAACATCGTCTGCAGATGAAGTTTGCATAGAAAGAGAGTGCAGCCGTTCTAACAGGAAGGCAGCAGAAACTAAAGAGAAACAGACAGATAGATATTTATATTAAATGATCATATATAATGAAAGCACAGATATATCTTAATAAGGCATAGGTATGTTTCAGGTGTACACAGGTGAGTCAGGTGTGTCACTGCTCCTGTCCGTCCTCTCTCAACTCAGACGGGAGAAACTTGTATTGCTGCTGTCGGATCATCGCAAGCTTCTTCCTCGCCTCATCCAGCTCCCGCTCTTTCCTGAGCATCTCCTCCTGCGCCGCGATGATCTGAAACAAACACAACACACACACACACACACACACACACACACACACACTGTAAACACACCGTAATATGACCGTAGGTACAACGGGCAGACCTGATAACTGACGGCTCTATCTCCCATAGTACATCTAGAGACCGTAGGTACCACAAGCAGGCCTGATAACTAATATGCTGAGTGAGTCGCCTGTACCTGTGACTCATCTGTACCTGTGCTCTGACTCATCTGTACCTGTGACTCATCTGTACCTGTGCTCTGACTCATCTGTAGATATGACTCATCTGTACCTGTGACTCATCTGTACCTGTGACTCATCTGTAACTGTGACTCATCTGTACCTCATCTGTACCTGTGATTCATCTGTTCCTGTACCTGCGTTTCATCTGTACCTGTGATTCATCTGTAACTGTGACTCATCTGTACATGTGACTCATCTGTACCTGTACCTGTGACTCATCTGTACCTGTGACTCATCTGTACCTGAGACTCATCTATACCTGAAACTCATCTGTACCTGTGACTCATCTGTACCTGTGACTCATCTGTACCTGTGTCTCATCTGTACCTGAGACTCATCTGTACCTGTACCTGTGACTCATCTGTACCTGTGCTCTGACTCAGCTGTATCTGTGACTCATCTGTACCTGTGACTGATCTGTACCAGTACTCTGACTCATCTGTACCTGAGACTCATCTGTACCTGTGACTCATCTGTACCTGTGTCTCATCTGTACCTGTGTCTCATCTGTACCTGTGTCTCATCTGTACCTGAGACTCATCTGTACCTGTACCTGTGACTCATCTGTACCTGTGCTCTGACTCAGCTGTATCTGTGACTCATCTGTACCTGTGACTGATCTGTACCAGTACTCTGACTCATCTGTACCTGTGACTCATCTGTACCTGTGACTCATCTGTACCTGTACCTGTGACTCATCTGTACCTGTGACTCATCTGTACCTGTACCTGTGACTCATCTGTACCTGTGACTCATCTGTACCTGTACCTGTGACTCATCTGTACCTGTGACTCATCTGTACCTGTACCTGTGACTCATCTGTACCTGTACCTGTGACTCATCTGTACCTGTACCTGTGACTCATCTGTACCTGTGACTCATCTGTACCTGTGCTCTGACTCATCTGTACCTGTGACTCATCTGTACCTGGGACTCATCTGTACCTGAGACTCATCTGTACCTGTGCTGTGACTCACCTGTGCGATGCCTCCCACCATCTTACTCTTCACCACCACCGCCTGGTCGTCCTGAGCGTCAAACGCTGCTTTCTGAGCCGCTTTCACCAGATTATCAGATGCTCGCTTCACCGCGTTACCTGCAGCCTGCACACGCCCACACACACACACACACACACACACACACACACACACACACACACACACACACACACACACACACACACACACACACACACACACACACACACACACACACACACACACACACACACACACACACACACACACACACACACACACACATTGAGAGACAGTTAGATATCTATTCTGTTTTCAGACAGAAATGTGCAGCCTTCTTCACAGAGGAGGAGGAGGAGGTAAGTACACATGATGAACGTCCGGACCTTTAACAAACTTTGTGTTTATTAAACCAGTCCAGGCAGGAGCATCTCCTCTCGTGTGTGTGTCTGTGTGTGTGTGTGTGTGATCATTTACAATCAGTGATTGTGTGTTGCTCTGTTTCCTCACAAACACTGAGCACAGCATCATGCTAACATTAAATAGGTCAGGTGTAGTGTTTCTGTCTGTGGATTGTTTCCACTCATGAATGTGGGGGAATTAGAGAGCAGCAGCTGCAGGACCAGAAGAGACACAGATAAGCTGCTGCTGATTGGATCAGAGAACATGAGCTGCACACACACGCCTGATGTGTGAGGACATACCAACATAGACGGGAACCCCATCACAGAAAGAGAGAGAGAGGGAGAGAGGGAGAGAGGGAGAGAGAGGGAGAGAGAGGGAGAGAGAGGAGAGAGAGGGGGACAGAGGGAGAGAGAGAGGAGAGAGAGGGGGACAGAGGGAGAGAGAGGGGGAGGGAGAGAGAGGGAGAGAGAGAGGGAGAGAGAGAGGGAGAGAGAGGGGAGAGAGGAGAGAGAGAGGAGAGAGAGGGACAGAGGGAGAGAGAGAGGAGAGAGAGAGAGAGAGGGGGAGAGAGGGAGAGAGAGAGGAGAGAGAGGGACAGAGGGAGAGAGAGAGGGAGAGAGGGGGAGGGAGAGAGAGGGAGAGAGAGGGAGAGAGAGGGGGAGAGAGGGAGAGAGAGAGGAGAGAGAGGGGGACAGAGGGAGAGAGAGAGGAGAGAGGGGGAGGAGAGAGAGGAGAGAGAGAGGGAGAGAGAGGGGAGAGGGAGAGAGAGAGGGGAGGGAGAGAGAGACAGAGGGAGGGGGAGAGAGAGAGAGAGAGAGAGAGAGAGAGAGAGACTAAAGGTACACACTACAAGATAATTCCCCGCTTCCTCCATTCAGACCAAAGTCAACAAACACACAAATCTGATTGTTCTAAAAATGATGTTGCTGTATGTTCCTGCGGTGAGACCAAGCAGCATCCTCCAGTGTTGAAAAATGAAGCCGATTCTGAAGTACAATCCTGCAGTTCCTCAAGTGTCTACTAGAGGCTGGCTGCAGAAGCACAGGAAGTCACATACACACTCATTCTAAAAAGTCTGTTTTTACAGCAGAAATGAAAATGGTTTAAAACCCGCCTCAGCTCCAGCTCTCAGCCTGTCGTTAGGTTGACTGAAAGTTAGACTGAGACAGCATTTCCAGCATGGAGACCGCCATCGATGGAACTCCAGCGCCCCCTGCAGGAACAGACGGGGGACTATCCATCTACATTAAACATGTTTGATATTTACGATGAGAAATCCTGTTGTGGCTGTAAAGATGTTAATCTCTGAAAACTAAGCCTCACCCTGCTAGGGCTTCTGTACTTTCTGAAAGACCAGGAACTAACAATAAGACATGCAGCCCCTGCAGAGCTCAGTCACAGCAGGGTGTTACATCTGCAGCTGAGAGCCCATTGCTCCCCCCCTCCTCCAAGTGTGGTTCTTACATTTCGAGGCCACAGGAAGCTCTTAGTTCTGTGGTTGAAGCGGGGCTTGTGTGTGTGTGTTAGTGAGTGTGTATTTGTGTATCAGTGTGTTACCTGTAGTCTCTTCATGGTCTGTGAGTCCTGGTCCGCTTTGACCTTACAGGCGACCAGCAGCTGGGCGGTGGAGGCGGCGACCTGTTTGGCCGAGGAGATGAGTTTCTCCTCGCTGGCGTGTCCCTGCACCGCAGAGTTAGCCGCCTCACACAGGTTGTTAGTTGCCGCGGCAACCATCCGAGCCTGAAAAGTCCCAGGTTATTATGGGTTATTCTGAAGGTTAAATATTGAAATAAAACATGAATCAAATTAATAAAGACTCACAGCGGAGATGAGACCCTGAGACCACTGACCATCATCCACAGCATTGGCCTGGATCGCCCCCACCTGAAAACAACCACACAGGTGAGTGAGGAGGTCATACAGGGGAACACACCTGAAAACAACCACACATGACCTGGGGTCTCATTTATAACCGTTGCGTACTCACAAAACAGGGTCTGAAGCTGGCGTA